GGAGTGCAATGGCGCGATCTCGGCTCACCGCAACCTCCACCTCCTGGTTCAGGCAATTCTCCTGCCTCAGCCTCCTGAGTAGCTGGGATTACAGGCACGCACCACCATGCCCAGCTAATGTTTTTGTATTTTTAGTAGAGACGGGGTTTCACCATGTTGAGCAGGATGGTCTCGATCTCTTGACCTCGTGATCCACCCGCCTCGGCCTCCCAAAGTGCTGGGATTACAGGCTTGAGCCACCGCGCCCGGCCATGTTTTATGCTTTTTAATGAAGTTTTTTTGTTTTGTTTTGCAGACTTGCTTAACTTCTTTATGAATTCTGGATGTTAAACCTTTGTCAGGAACATAGTTTACAAATATTTTTGTTTATTTGGTATGTGATCTGTTTACCCCATTGATAGTTTCTTTTGCTGTGAAGAAGCTTTTTAGTTTAATTAGGTCCCATTTGTCAAGTTTTGATTTTGTTGCAATTCCTTCTGTTATCTTCCTCAGAAAATCTTTGCTAGCTCCTATGCTTAGAATGGTATTTTCTTGGTTATTTATCTTCCAGATTTTATTTTATTTTATTTTTTTATTTTTATTTATTTATTTTTTTGAGACAGAGTTTCACTCTTGTTACCCAGGCTGGAGTGCAATGGCGCGATCTCGGCTCACCACAACCTCCGCCTCCTGGGTTCGGGCAATTTTCCTGCCTCAGCCTCCTGAGTAGCTGGGATTACAGGCACGCACCACCATGCCCAGCTAATTTTTTGTATTTTTAGTAGAGACGGGGTTTCACCATGTTGACCAGGTTGGTCTCAATCTCTTGACCTCGTGATCCACCTGCCTCAGCCTCCCAAAGTGCTGGGATTACAGGCGTGAGCCACCGCGCCCGGCCTATCTTCCAGATTTTAAAAATAATGTTAAGTTTTGCATTTAAGTCTTAATCTTCATTTAATTTTTATATGTATTATCAGGGAGGAAACATTTTAGTCTTCTACATAGTGCTAGCTAGCTATTCCAGCACACTTTTTTTTTTTTTTTTAAAGACGGAGTTTCACCATAGTGTCCAGGCTGGTCTCGAACTTCTGACCTCAGGTGATCCGCCCGCCTCAGCCTCCCAAAGTACTGGGATTACAGGCGTGAGCCACCACGCCCGGCTCCAGCACATTTATTAAATAGGGAATTCTCACATTCCTCTTGTCAGATTTGTCAATGATCAGATGGTTGGAGGTGTGTGGCATTATTTCTGGGCTCTCTATTCTCTGCTCATAGATTATTTGTCTATGGGTCTGTTTTTGTACCAGTACCATGCTGCTTTGGTTACCATAGCCCTGTAGTTAGTGTAGTTTGAAGTTGGGTAATGTAATGCCTCTAGCTTTGTTCTTTTTGTTTAAAATTGCCTTGGCTATTCAGGCTCATTTTGGTTCCATATAAATTTTAAAAATAGTTATTTTTTAGTTTTGTTAACACCGTTTCTGGTAGTTTGATAGAAATAGCATTAAATTGGTAAATGTCTTTGGGCAGTTTGGCCATTTTAATATTACTACTGATATTTTCTATCCTTGAGCATAAAATGTTTATTTTTTTCATTGGCTTGTATCATCTCTGACTTCTTTAAGCAGTGTTTTGTCGTTCTTGTCATAGAGATCTTTCACCTCCATGGTTAGCTATATTCATATTCTGTTCCTTTTGTGCTAATTTTGAATGGGATTATGTTTTTGATTTGGCTTTTGGCTTGGATGTTGTTGATGAACAGGGATGCTACTTATTTATTAATTATTATTATTATTATTATTTTTTTTTGAGACAGAGTTTCACTCTTGTTACCCAGGCTAGAGTGCAATGGCGCGATCTCGGCTCACCGCAACCTCCGTCTCCTGGGTTCAGGCAATTCTCCTGCCTCAGCCTCCTGAGTAGCTGGGATTACAGGCACGCACCACCATGCCCAGCTAATGTTTTGTATTTTTAGTAGAGACGGGGTTTCACCATGTTGACCAGTATGGTCTCGATCTGTTGACCTCGTGATCCACCCGCCTCGGCCTCCCAAAGTGCTGGGATTACAGGCTTGAGCCACCGCGCCCGGCCTAATTATTTTTTTTGAGATAGAATCTCACTCTGTTGTCTAGGCGGGAGTGCAGTGGCGATCTCGGCTCACTGCAACCTCCGCCCCAGGGATGCTACTTATTTGGCATCCTGAAACTGCTGAAGTTGTTTATCAGTTTAAAGAGCTTTTCTGCTGAAACTGTAGGGTTTTGAAGACACAGAATCTTTTCATCTGCACAAAGGGATAATTTGACTTCCTCTCTTCTTGGTGGATGCCTTTTATTTTCATCTTTTCCCTGATTGCTCTGGCCAGGACTTCCAGTTGTATGCTGAATAGGAGTTTTGAGAGAAGACATCCTTGTCTTGGGCCAGTTTTCAAGGAGAAAATGCTTCCAGCTGTGTCCATGTAATATATTGGTTGTGAGTTTGTTGTAGATAGCTCGTTATTTTGAAGTCTGTACCCTCAATGCCTAGTTAGCTGAGGGTTTTAACATGAAGGATGTTAAATTTTATTGAAAGCTTTTTTTTAGCCATCTGTTGAGATCATCTTGCGGTTTACTCTTTAGTTCTGTTTATGTGATGAATTACATTTATTAATTTTTATATGTAGAAACAACCTTGCATCTCAGAGATACAGTCTACTTAATCACACTGGATGAGCTCTTTGATATTCTTGTGGATTTGGTTTGCCAGTATTTTGTTGAGAATATTTTCTTCAGTGTTCATCAAGGATATTGGTCTGAAGTTTTCTATGTTTTTCTCTCTGCCAGATTTTGGTATCAGAATGATGCTATTCTTACGTAATGAATTGAAAAAGAGTCCCTTTTACTCAGTGTTTTGAAATAATTTTGGTAGAAGCGGTACCAGCTCTTTGTACATCAGGTAGAATTCAGCTGTAAATTTGTCTGGTCCTGTACTTTTTTTGGTTGTTAGGTTATTTATTACTAATTCAATTTTAGAGTTTGTTTTTGGCCTATTCAGAGATTCTGTTTTGTTGCTGCTGTTGTTTAGTTTTTGCAGGATGTATATTTGCTCCGAGGTTACAGTCCTCAAGCTTGGCCCAAATTAACTCTCTACTTATATTTATGTTGCCTCAGCTTTTTCCTTTTAGGTAAACATATTACTTAGAGTGTGCTAGAGCAGCCTCTATGAGGAGATTTCTCCTTTGATTGTGCTGTGTTTGCTGTAATACCCAAAAATGCAAGCCAGATCGATCCCACATAGAATTTGCACAAAAGGTCTGGCCTCTGCCTGGGATTCACAAGACAGGGCCAGACTTTGGATTGAGAATATACAGAAAACCACCAGCAGGCATTTTCTGCATTGTGAGATGTCAACAATAACTTCTGAATCCTAGAGTTGGGAGTATGGCTTTTTAAGCTCTTTAGATCTTGTTCAGTGACTACTGTAGTTGTAAGTAGAGTCTGATGCCAGAATCTTTAAACAAGCACTAAGAGTGAGAAATAAAGGCCACAAAGTATCAAGAGCCATGACCACAATGCTGGAATAGAGTATTTTTGTCCTTCCTCTTACCCAAAAGCTAATGAATCAGGATAGGTGAACCAGGTTCTGGAGCTTCACCAGGGCAGTTCCATTTTCTATTTAGAGTCAGCTTGAGTCTCTTCAACCTGGCTTATCATTGGGCCATCAGCCCCAGGTTACTAAGAACCTCTCACAATCACCTAGGCATTTTTGAGACGTTGGAGGATGTCCAGGCCCAGGACTGTGTCAGGCTAACAAAAGTGATTAATTCTGCTTAAGTCTTGGTATAAGAGAAAAAAGTAATCCTGTGGGTATTTTTTTCTCCCCTTATACAAAAAATAACTTTGGTTGGTACCAAGATGAGAGTTTCTCCAGTTTCCCAGTTCTTGAGTGGAAGATGAAGAGGTCTGGTGACTCAGATAAACTAATTGCTTCAATTTTATATGGTTATTCAAAGAATAGATGGAGCAGTCGTGATCCCTACCATCCAGAAGCTTTTAATCTAGAGTAGTAAGTGGATACATGGTTGAATTAAGCATCATATGATGGATACAATGAATAGATGTGTGCAAAAATACTCCAGCTTTATTTGGATCACTTTGTAAAAAAAAATTGTTGTGACTTCTGATGTCATTACCTGAAGAAATATTTATGAACAGGAGAATTGTTATTTCTGTTTCTTTTACCTTGCTAACAATACATATGTATCATCTAATAATATCCTGGAAAACTTTAAGAGATTTCGTTAAATTGCTTATTATTATATGTTATAAAATTGACAGGGCAGTGGCAAAAATAGGTCAAAGTTACATAAACTCTGGGATTTTAGTTTCTTTTTGGTAAGCTTAGGAAAACAGAACTGGAAATACCCCAGTGCCATAGAGAACAGAATTCTACATAAGGTCCACTACCTAACCCAGGTCTATTCAGATTCACCGGCCCCCTTTATTTTATTTTATTTTATTTTATTTTATTTTATTTTATTTTATTTGAGACAGCCTTTTTCTTGTTCCCCAGGCTGGAGTGCAGTGGCACATTCTTGGCTCACTGCAACCTCTCTCTCCCAGGTTTAAGCAATATTGCTGCCTCAGCATCCCAAGTAGCTGAGATTACAGGTGCCTGCCACCATGCCCATCTAATTTTTATATTTTTAGTAGAGATGGGCTTTCACCATGTTGGTCAGGCTGGTCTTGAACTCGTGACCTCAGGTAACCCACACACCTCAGCCTCCCAAAGTGCTGGGATTACAGACAGCCACTGTACATGGCCAGATTCACCTTTTTGAAGGCTTTATTTAGGTTTAGGTCTGGCTCCATCCTGGAGTCTTGCCTCACAAAACTGATTTAAAGAGATTAAAATTTTGGCTAGTGAATTATTCTGCCTTTCTAGACTTAGTGCTCACAATTTTTACAAACCCAGAAGCAGGTAAATGAGAAAAACAATCTACGTATTTTAGGATCTTAATTTTTTTTTTTTTTTTTTGAGGCAGAGTTTCACTCTGGTTTCCCAGGCTGAAGTGCAATGGTGCAATCTCGGCTCACTGCAACATCTGCCTCCTGGGTTTAAGCGATTCTCCTGTCTCAGCCTCCTGAGCATCTGGGGTTAAAGGCACCTGCCACCATGCCCAGCTAATTTTTGTATTTTTAGTAGAGACAAGGTTTCACCATACTGGCCAGGCCGACCTAGAACTCCTGACCACAGATGATCTGCCCGTCTCGGCCTCCCAAAGTGCTGGGATTACAGGCGTGAGCCACCATGACCGGCCAGAATCTTCATTTTTTAATTTTGTATTAAAACCAGTGCTTACGGAAACATTTCATTTAGCAACTTATTTTTTATTTCTGCAGATCCAGTAGTTCCTCCACAAGTAACAAAAACGTAAATATAAACATAGTAAATTTCTCTGACTACATTTAATTCTATGTCCCTCGTGTCTGTTTATTTTGTACATTTTATTTTTTAAAATGACAGAGAAACAGATGAAGGAATAATACTGAACCCTTTATTTAAATCCTGGAAATTATTGAACATTTAGTATCAACTTCCAGGGTGTTATGAGGATGAAATCACATAATGTGTTATTCCCAGCACAGTGCTTTGTAACATACTCTTGAGTAGATAGTACCTGCTTCATAAACATTGCATTATTACATGTGTACATGTTGTTTTTCAAATACAGCCTTATTCAGAAATTGCTGCTGTTTCCTCTGTAAAGAGCCAGCAAGGAATATGAAACTTCAGGATGGAGATTGGTTGTCTTCATTTGTATCAGAAGTATTTGTGTTGTGACAGGAGTGCTGAGTGTAAGGGACTCTGTGCTGTGTCTGCTTTCTCTAACTACTACTAATAATGAACCCAAGGGGAGCAATATCAGCATGGCAGGGGACTTGTTTGAAACACCCATTCACGGACTTTTTCCAAACCTGTAGATTCACATTACACAAAGTAGAACCAACATTACCTGGTAATTTTTAAGCTCATCAAAGCTTGAGAGGCAGTGCTTATCAGCCCACTCTTCTCATTCAGATTACATGGTCAATTTGCAGAAATCTCTTTATTTGTGCACTTTCCACCTGTTTTGTTTATTGTTCTGGGTGGAAGCATCCGTGTTGTTTTAATGAAGTGCCTCATGTGACTCTAAGTTGAGGCCAGAATCAGGTATGAGGGCTTCAAAATACATTCCTGAGAGTTAAGTGGCACATTTGCAGTAAAAGGTGGGCACAGAGCCTGTTCTGTTTGACTTTGGTAGAGACAGGGCAGTGTGGCTTATATTTCCATTACTGTAGCAGAAATTGCTGGTGTGTGGCAGGGGAGGGCACCTGTAGACAGGAAAAGAGGAATGTATATTTTTATTTCCATTCAGCTAATTGTTCCTGAATCTCTTCTGTTTTAAAGGAGAGAAATGGGTGGACCTTTTGGTCTTGGTCCTTCTGTCTGTGGGTGCGAGGCTGGCAGGGAAGCAGGTGGTGCTGATGTCTTTAAGGAAATTTTCTCAAGATACCGGTGTCACTTGTCCAGAGAATTTTCCCTGAAAAGATTTTCCAGAGGAGGGGGAGAAAGAGGGAAAATGGCTGCTTTTCAGCTAAACATGTCTCAGATCAAGAGCTGTGTCCACCCTGCCTCCTGGAGTGCCCTGCATTTAGTACTCACAAACCTTTACTTCTCTACTTGTGTTTCTCCTCCTCAGTGAGTTTATTTCAAGTACTTTTAAAAATTGTTGTGATAGTTGATCTCTAAAAAATATTTTTTTCCTACGTACGAGAGCCTTCTCTACATCATGGCTTCTTATATGCAATGCAGAATTCCTACCATAAATTTATGATCTTCCATATAAAAAGTGTTCCTTTTGGCCGGGCATGGTGGCTCAAGCCTGTAATCCCAGCACTTTGGGAGGCTGAAGTGGGCGGATCATGAGGTCAAGAGATCGAGACCATCCTGGTCAACATGGTGAAACCCCGTCTCCACTAAAAACACACAAAAAATTAGCTGGGTGTGGTGGCATGCGCCTGTAGTCCCAGCTACCCGGGAGGCTGAGGCAGGAGAATTGCTTCAACCCGGGAGGTGGAGGTTGCAGTGCGCCGAGATTGTGCCGTTATACTCCAGCCTGGCACCTGGTGACAGAGCAAGACTCTGTCTCAAAAAAAAAAGTGTTCCTTTGTGGCTATTGAAAATGGGAAGATGTGGATACTCAAGATTCCTATTGTGGGAAAGCTGAGGTTCTTAGTAAAGATGGAGAACATATAATGTTGAGGTTTCATCTGTGTTCTCTATTAACTCTATACAGAACTGGATTAAGAAAGTGCTTATTTAAATGGGATGGCATTTAGTACCCAGGAAGTTCTGAAAAATATTATTGAGAGATTCCTGCTCTCTAGAGTACTAAAGAAAGTCTACTTAAAGTCATTATTAAAAATTATAGGCCAGGCACAGTGGACCACATCTGTAATCCCAGCACTTTGGAGGCTGAGGCAGGCAGATCATGAGATCCAGAGTTTGAGACCAGTCTGACCAACATGGTGAAACCCCATCTCTACTAAAAATACAAAAATTAGCCAGGCATGGTGGTGTGTGCCTGTAATCCCAGCTTCTCAGGAGGCTGAGCCAGGAGAATTGCTTAAACCTAAGAGGTGGAGATTGCACACTGCTCTCCAGCCTGGGTGACAGAGGGAAACTCCATTTCCAAAAAAAAAAAAAACTGTTGAACTTGGGAAATATCTTGACCTTTGCATAAAACTGATTTTTCTTTTCTTTCTCTCTTCCTCCCTCCCTTCCTCCCTCCCTCCCTTTCTTTCCTTTCTTAATGGAGTCTCACTCTCTTGCCCAGGCTGGAGTCCAATGGTGCAATCTCAGCTCACTGCAACCTCTACTTCTTGGGTTCCAGTGATTCTCCTGTCTCAGCCTCCTGAGTAGCAGGGATTACAGGTGCATGCCTGCATGCCTGGCTTTTTTTTTTTTTTTTTTAGTAGAGTTGGGGTTTTACCATGTTCCTTAGGCTGGTTTCGAACTCCTGAACGGAGGCAATCCACCCTTCCCGGCCTCCTAAAGTGCTAGGATTATAGACATGAACCACTGCACCTGATTTTTCTTTATGGTTAAATTCAATCTTTAATGATTTTTGTGGGGCAATATCTCAGCAGTGATACTGTGTTCATCTGTGTGCATCAGCACCTCATGAAATTTTTTTCTAGTGTAGTTGATAATTTACTTAGCAAAAGAGCTCTGACTTTTTGTCACTATTGAGTCAATTATTTTTCTTTATCATTAAGTATATTTATGCAGCTAATTTGCATAAACCATCACATTTAATCTGGCACCTGCCATTTTTTCTGATGTTTCTTTATTTCTTTCTTTGTGTGTGTGTGTGTGTGTGTGTGTGTGTGTGTGTGTGTGTGTGTGTGTGTGTGAGATACAAGTCTGTCTTTGGAAAATGAAGGCTCTTACCTTTGTTTACAGGCCAGAAAAATTGGGAAAAACAGTCTCTTTCCCTTACTGAATGTTTGACAAGATAGTCTTCTTGGGTCAAAAACATTGGCATTACTAGTGATCTTGTTAGAATTTTAAAAACTCAGACATTATTCCAGGTCTTCTGGGGAAAACAAAACAGAACAAAAACTTCACCACAAGATCTCCAGTTATTGTGCGCATTTAAATTTGAGAGGTACTTTCTAAATCAACTTTTATTTTTTGTTGGAAAAATATACACAACTCATTATGTTGTAAATATAGCACTGAAAAATGTATATATTTGTGTTTATGTCCTTAACTATATACTTTATTATAGAGAAAAGTATTATATATGCACTGGTGTTTTGGATCTTATGCCATTCTCTTTCTTCGGAGTAAGAGAATACATTAGAGAATATTTCTGTGTTGAAAATTATTGGATAATTTCAGTTACCCTTTTTTTGGTGATGGTGTTTTGAGTCAGAGTCTTACTCTGTCACCCAGGTTGGAATGCAGTGGCAAGATCTCAGGTCACTGCAACCTCTGCCTCCTGGGTTCAAGTGATTCTCCTGCCTCAGCCTCCTGAGTAGCTGGGATTACAGGTGTGTGCCACCATGCCCAGATTTTGTATTTTTAGTAAAGTCGGATTTTCACCATGTTCGTCAGGCTGGTCTTGAACTCCTGACCTCGTGATCCACCTCCCAAAGTGCTGGGATTACAGACATGAGCCACCACACCCAGACTAATTTCAGTTATTCTTATAAGTCAGAATCAATTCTCTTTACTCTCTTGTTTAACCTTAATTCAAATAATAAATTCTGCCCATGGCCACTTGGTAAATATATGTGTGTCCGTATATGTGTTTTTCAGGAGACGCTGACATTTAGGGATGTGGCCATAGAATTCTCTCTGGAGGAGTGGCAGTGCCTGAACCCTGCTCAGCAGAATTTATATAGAAATGTGATGTTAGAGAACTACAGAAACCTGGTCTTCTTGGGTGAGAATAGCTTTAATACACCATTCTTAATATACCCTAAAAGTTGATGTCTTTTTTATTTTTTTATTTTGTAATTTATGCTTTGTATAAATGTTTCTGATCCTTATTTTAAGAAAATCTTGATGATTTGTCTGTGTAGAAAAGAATTTCTTCAACATGTTTTATCTTCATCTACACTCCACATTTCTAATATTTAGTGGCATAAAATACTATTGCCCATATCTTTTTTTTTTTTTTGGAGACAGAGTCTTGCTCTTGTCACCCAGAATAGAGTGTAGTTGTGTGACCTTGGCTCACAGTAACCTCCGCCTCCTGGGTTCAAGTGATTTTCCTGCCTCAGCCTCCTGAGTAGCCACAGTACAGGTGCATACCACCACGCCTGGCTAATTTTTGTATTTTTAGAAGAGAAGGAGTTTTATCAGCTTAGCTAGGATGGTCTCGATTTCCTGACCTTGTAATTGGCCCTCCTTTGCCTCCCAAAGTGCTGGGATTACAGGTGTAAGCCACCGCACCTGGTTGCCCATATCTTAAAATCTATTTGCCACCATCAATATATATATATATTTTTTTAATTTTCTGCCCGGCACCTCCGACCACCATCAATTTTTGATTCACGAGTACCAGGTAGTAAAATGAAGGATCTGAAAATTTAAAATATTTCCTAAATATTTAGAGATGTCTCTCATTGATTAGTATTTTGGGATCAATTTTCTAGAATATTCTATCACATTGTTTTTACTGAGCACAGTACTAGGTTGGTAATTAGAGACTATAAGAAAGATTTATGTTACTTATTTTTAATAAAGCAGGTATTGCTGTCTCTAAGCAAAACCCAGTCACCTGTCTGGAGCACGGAAAAGAGCCCTGGAATATGAAGAGATATGAGATCATGGCCAAACCCACAGGTAGGTGAGAGTAAATACAACAAACAACACGGATGAGCAGTCCAAAGGTCATACAAACAAAAAGCCAGTTCTTACAACATGATTTGGGAAGCTGTGTTGCAAAGCAAATAGTTTCTGGGAGGCCTGAGTATTTTCTTAAATTTTTCCCTTACATAGGGGCATCTTCTGTCTTCTGCTGTTAAATTCTCTAAAAATTCTACTTTTCCTTGGGTGATCTTCCTCCAAGTTTACAGTGAGAGCCAAAGTCCTCTTCATGGCGTGTAAGACACTGTACAGGCTGGCCACAGTGACTTACACGTGTAATCTCAGCAGTTTAAGAGGTGAAGGCCAGCAGACTACAAGGTCTGGAGTTCGAGACCAGCCTGGACAACATGGTGAAACCCCATCTGTACTAAAAATACAAAAATTAGTCCGATGTGGTTGTGGGTACCTTTAATCCTAGCTGCTTGGGAAGCTCTGGCAGAAGAATCACTTGAACTCAGGAGGCGGAGGTTTCAGTTAATTGAGATCATGCCACTGCACTCCAGCCTGGGTGACAGAGTGAGATTCCGTCTAAAAAAAAAGGGGACTGTACATCTGTATGCTTTTTCATTTTTTGGGAGACACAAATATCTGCGTAATTTTGAAAAACTCCATGTTAAACTATTTTTTAGTTCTCTTTTTACATCATGTCTAAGATGTGTGAGAGTAGTGGTTTCTGTTCAATTAAAGGTTTCTGTGTGAATTTTTCTGCACATTCCATTCTGTTTGTGTGAAATTGTAAATTATGATGTCCCTCTACTTTGTTCTTTTTTCTCAAGAGTGCTTTTGCTATTTGAAGTTTAAAGACAGTCTTGCTAGGTCACCAGGCTGGTGTGCAATGTCCTGATCTCAGCTCACTGCAACCTCCGCTTTCCGAGTTCAAATGATTCTCCTGCCTCAGCCTCCCGAGTGGCTGGGATTACAGGCATGTGCCACCATGCCTGGCTAATGTTTGTATTTTTAGTAGAGTTACGAGGTTTCACCATGTTGTCCAGACTGGTCTCGATCTTGTGACCTCGTGATCCATCCACCTCTGCCTCTCAAAGTGCTGGGATTACAGGTGTGAGCAACTGTGCCTGGCCAAAATGAAATTTTTTTTTTTTTTTTTTTTTTTT